CATAATTGTCGGGATCCGCTTCAGCTGCGGCGTCTCAGTATATAATGAGCTACAGCTCGCGGTATACTGAGCTTAGGGTGACGCGAGGACGCTAGTTTGTGTCCTCCCGTTACCCTTAGGAGGACTCTGGGGAAAAGCCCTAACCGCATAGTTCTCCTTTAAATAGTACAGACACCAATATACTCACAATAAGGCCCTATTCATATCTGTAGGTTTAGGTGCGATTAGGGATTCCTGCATCAGAAACGTGCGTTTTCCTGCAGCAGAAATCCCTAATCTGGCGTTTACAAGTGACAGCTGTCACCTATTCAAGTTAATGATCAGGTGATAGCAGCTCCATGTAAACTCCTGCACACCGCATGTAATGGAATGTGATATGATCACATGCGGTTAGAAAACACTCTCCCTGAATGCACAATCGATGCGTCCAGGGAGAGTGATTGATTCCTAACTGAATGTAAACATATCACGTATCTTTACATGCGGTGTGCAGGCGTTTACATGCAGCTGCTGTCACCTGATCGGTAACTTAGGTGACAGCTGCCATTTGTAAACGCCAATTTAGGGATTTCTGTTGCAGGAAAACGCAAGTTCCTGACGCAGAAATCCCTAATTGCACCCAAAATAAAGATGTGAATGCAGCCTGTTACACTTCTACTCTCCCCCCCCACGTAAAAAAAATACAACCCCTGTACATATATATACACACGCACACACACAACCCCAGTCCGTGCCCCCCCAGCCCAGACCTTACCAATCAATTCTTCACAATCCTTTCGGCCAGCGTTCACTGAAAGAGCGCTGGCCGCAAGGATCCGAGTGTCGGCGCAGATTCAGCAACACAGTCTGCATCCGACAGAGATGTAGACCATGTCCGCAGCTGCGATCCCTCCTGTCAGCTCTCTCTCCTCCCAGCCGTTGTGTAGCTGCAGCGGCCGGGAGGAGCGGTTACCTACAGGACGGGTCGCAGCGGTGGGGACCTCAGCACTGCCTGCCACGATCCCCTCCGCAGCTCATCTGACGGCACCATCTCCCTGCCCCCGCACCCTTCGGCGGCCAGCAGCTTCGGGCATAGGTGCCGGGACGGGCCGAACACAATCAGCCTAATGTCCGGCCCGCCCCGGCCCCTATGCCGAAGCTGCTGGCCGCCGAAGGGTGCGGGGGAAGGGAGATGCCGGGAAATTGCCCGGTATGGCCGATGGCCAGTCCGGCCCTGCTGGCTGCCAATGTAAAGAAACTATTCGCACTGACCGCCAATGTAACGAAAGTGTTCACAATGACCGCTAATGTAACAAACGTATACACCATACACATGCTTAAACTTACCTTGTTCTTGCAGTCGTCGGGCATTTTTTCTTCCTTAGCAGGGGGGGGCGGCGACATTGATTTGCATATGAATTAGTCGCGATATTTACATATGAATGGGCCACTGCTTATTGATATGCAAATCACCGCGGCCCATTCATATGTAAATATCTCGGCCGGGGCAGGGAACAGGAACAGCGCCAGCAGCTCCGGAGACAGCACAGAGTAGAGACTAGAGAGAGCTGGGGGAGGAAGTGTTTTTTTGGCCTCCCCCACCAGCTCCCTCTAGTGTCTACTGTGTAGTAGTGACGGCTCTGCTAAGAGCCGGCCATCAGGCATAGCAAACAGGCCCGAACACAATCAGGTTGATTTGTGTTCGGGCCGGCCCGGCCCACCGGGCAAGTGCCCGGTTTGCCCTATGGCCAGTCCGGCCCTGGTTACAGGTTTTTTTGTGTGCTGATGTCCAATCATCCTGTAGGTGGCAGTATAAGGTTATGGACTTGCTGTGTCCCTTCATAGGACAGTGGAAAGCAGGAATCCCCAGCACTCAATGAATAGTATTCAAGTATTAAACGTCCATTTATTCGGACATGTTATCACAAACGAAAAACCAACATTTCGGGGCCGCACAGGGTCCCTTCATCAGGGTGATAATTGTCACATTATCACCCTGATGAAGGGACCCTGTGCGGCCCCGAAACGTTGGTTTTTTGTTTGTGATGACATGTCCGAATAAATGGACGTTTATTACGTGAATACTATTCATTGAGTGTTGGTGATTTCTGCTTTCTACTGTTGATGTGCACGGTGCCATTTGTGATTATCACTGCAAGCACCGTCCTTGCAATTTGGGCCAGGAACGTTGTAATGAGTGCAGAGGGACCTTCCATTTTCTACCTCAATGGGGCAGACATGCACACACTTTCTTTTAAACTCGCCAAAAAGTGCATATAAAATGGTAAATCTGCATATCTCGATATATGGATGATTTCCTTGAGAGGTTTCCATTAAAATGTGCTCCAACTCAGTAGTTGGACCACTCCAAGTTGGTCCTTACACCCCCCTCTACCACCACCACCACCATCATCACTAACCCCCCTCCCAGGTAATTTTTACTTATAAAATCCCCAATATATAATATGAGCTTCTTAGTCCTGAAGTACAGTGAGCACAACCTGCATGATAACACACCCATCCCCCCCAAATGAAAACCTTAGCTCATGGTAAATGGGCAACATGACGCGTTATGCTTAGAAGACTTCCAGTGCTGGACAGGCCAGGAGGAAGCTAGGGATAGCGCTGGAGCATGGACAGGGTAAGTAAAGCTTGGGCACCTTTTTCTTCTATATAGGAGAGTGAGACCCAAATATTAAATCGATAAATGTGGAGTTACACTTTAAATTATTTCCTGAAGTTTTAGCAGCTTTTATTTCAATGCTATGAAGTCTTTAAGAAGGTACTACAACCTAAAAGTATTTTTTTGTTGTTGTATATGTTTATTCCAGTATTTTATTTTTAATTAAATTTACATTTTGAGAGAGAGAGAACACAGTCAATCAGGATTTAAAGTTAACGTCCATATAACTGGTTATTCTTTACCTCTCTGTGTAACTCTTGCATGGTTGTTCTAAAAAAAAAAAAATGTCCTTTTATGAAATCTACTGAGGCTTTCTTTTTTATGCGTTTTTTCCTTCCCTACAGGTACCAGCAGACAGGTGTTCGTTGGCTCTGGGAACTGCATTGCCAGCAGGCAGGAGGCATTCTGGGAGATGAGATGGGATTGGGTAAAACTATCCAGATAATTGCTTTTCTGGCAGGCCTGAGTTACAGCCGGATAAGGACGCGAGGCTCTGATTACAGGCAAGTGGCTGTCCTGTAGTCTGCCAGTCTGAGCCTGCCATGAATATTTCATCAGAATTATTACAGAGAGGGGGCGTACCTGCTGAATTATTCACCGCATTTCAATTAGATAGTTCCTTGAATTCGTTTAGTGAAGGTGGGGGGTGCTTTGAAGGCAGTTTATGACAAGGAGGGGAGTTGTAGGGCACAGGAAATTAAAGAGCTAACACTAGTAATTAATTCTTGGCTTGTGCATCTGTGTCTGAGATTCAGTACATGTCTTTCAGCTGACTGCTTGATTCCCAGGATACCAAGTCTTTGGCCGTAGAAATACGGACATAACACTGAAAGACGCAGAGTGAATTCAACCCTTGGGCAAAGAAAGCAATGATGCGGGGGTGCTTTACTATAATAATTTTGCCTTGTAATTTGTTTTCTTTTTTAAAGTGCATAAACGTAATTTTTTTGTGTGCACATGATATGTCATGTATCAAGTACAGCAGATAAGCATGATGACAAGTTGTAAAGACAAATTGAAATTTGCATTCATACACTACTTTGTTCATTAAAATATATCAAATGTTTTTTGCAAAAATAAGTGTGCCGTAATGCAAGTGACGGGGCAAGTTTCATGCCAGCTTATCTGGGTGGCCTTGGATTTGTCAAGTGTTTTGTTTTTTTTGTTGTTTTTTTTTTTTTAAATCTGTGCAACTGATTTGTGACGACAATTCCTAATGCATAAGTCAAAACAAAACTTTACCTAAGAAAAAAAGTTTCCAAGCAGAAATACTTTATTGCAGAAGAGACATGCTATGCGCAGCTCTGTGTACATTTTAATTATGCCTGTGTGCCAGGATGAATAAAAGGAGAACTATTGGGAGAGTAAATTACACTCTTCCCAATAGTTTGAGCCAGCGTGTTACACTGCAGCTGTCACACGCCATCTCTATAGCTCGAGAACTGAGCGATCACAAACTTCTGATCATTCAGCTCATGGTTTCTCCCTGCAGAGGGAGGTGACTGTCAGTCACTGCTCCCTGCAGGGATTCCCCCCTTCCCTCTCTCTGTTCCTCCAGCACTCACTGAACGGACACATGGGCACTAGAGAGGCCAACAGTCAATCAGGCAGCAGGGTGGATTCCAACAATATTCTAGCCTGCTTTTTCAGTTTGGGGTCACAGGAGTACATTAGTAAAAGAAAAATAGGTTTGGCTTTAGTTCGCTTTTAAATACCATGCGTATGAGGTATGTCATCCTGGCTTGGCCAGGCAAGGGGGCCAAAGATGCTAAACCTAGAAGAACAACAGGTGAAGATGTCAGTGGTACCACCCCTCGTCCAATCAGAGAATGCCTAGTATTTACTTATGAAAACACAGCAGAGATGAATTTTCTCTGCTCAGCTCCAATACAGGAGTCAGAAGATCACTTTAAAGCACTGCTGTAGTGCCAGCTACAGGATCTTTGTGGCCATTCCAGGTATAAAATATATATATACTTGCATTAGGCCAAGCTGGTATATATAAATAAGTATATGTAAACCTGGCGTTCAGCTTTAAAAACCCATCTTTTAATGTCAGGACTTATTCTGCACCTATCTAGAATGTATGTATTTCCTTAAGACATTTTGGTGGGAACATTGTGAGATAAACAAAAAAACGATAAAGTTAGTTATACATTTTAGTAAATTGAGCCCTTTTTTAATATTTGTTTACAGATATGAAGGACTGGGTCCCAGTATTATTGTGTGTCCTGCCACTGTAATGCACCAGTGGGTCAAGGAATTCCATGCTTGGTGGCCTCAGTTGCGCGTAGCTATACTTCATGAGACGGGGAGTTTTGCTGGGAAAAAGGTGAGAACATTGTTTCTTATATCTTCTTCAGTCCATCTACTGAATGACTAGAATATTTTTTTACAATATTTAGATATATTAGAGTGGTTCCAAAAATGTTATCAAAGCTTCATTCCTGTTAGACTTTATTTAATGGGCCACTTTTGGGTACCATGCTTTTTTACATTTCCAATTTCTCCTTGTCATTTTCCCTCAAAGTGCCTTTATTACATTGTGATTCACCTGCATTCTTGTTTAACTTCTCATACCTTGCCCAGATAGCACAAGGTATGAGAAGCAAAGCTCCTGCCTTACTTCCAGGCAATCGCCAACATCAGCCAGGCTTGTGTTATAAATAACATTTATTTATTGGGTCTTCCTGGAGCCTCCTAAAATCCCAATGGAAAGAATGGGGTTGACTTACTAAATGGGTAGAGACTTTGCACTTAGCAAAGTTAATATTCAATTCCTGCACAAGGGTGTCAACACTTCTTCCCCATAGATAGTATACCTTAGAACTTACCTTACCTCCTCATAGAATGTCAATAGGTTTGTCTGACAAGAACGCTCTTTCATAAATCCATGCAGGTTTTTACTTATGATACTGTTATCACATTAAAATGTTTGAATATAGGCCCTTAACATTCACTCAAATACTTTGAATATTATTGGTGTGTGGCTGACTGGCCTGTAGTTACCTGGGTATGTACCTTTCACCTCTTAAGTGTCCTTACAGATGGGAACAATGGTCTTGCTCCGTTCTTTAAGGACTCACAGATGTAAGCCTGATCCTGTAGATTTATCAGTGTTAAGTTTTGTAGCATCTTTCTCACTTCCATCTCTGTTAGCCACTGGGCCTCCTCTAGTCTGTTCTTCAGATTATATTTTTGCTGCTCTAATTGCGCTTTTGCATTTTTTTTGTTTTGTTATATTCCTTGTATTGCTTGAATGCCATTGATGACTTTTCAATCTTATGCTTTTTAAAGGACAGTTTATTTTCATTAATCTCTAAACTCTAGAGTTTAACCATTCTGGTTTAACTTTTGCTCTTTTAAATTTATTAAAGAAAAACTGGTGAATATTGTTATTTAATATGGCCTTAAAGCACTACCATTTGTCTTTCATCTTCATTGTCAGGAATATTTAATCTCATTTAATATAATTTAACAAAGATCACAGCTTACTAAAGTTGGCCTATTTGAAGTTTATTCTTCTTCTTGTCGTTCCTACCTCTGCTTCTCCAAAAAGACCACAAACATGATTACCCCATGATCGCTATTTCTCACTTATCCACATCTCTGATTAGTTCTGTAATATTAGAAATCAGTAAGTCCAACAGAGCGATAGTTCTAATTGGAGTGTCCACCATTTTTCCATTAAATTCTCTTGTAGAAAATGTTTGCGGTGATGGGCCTTTGTTGAGCGTGTGGTTCCGCTTGAACTACACTTTAAAATAAGTGGGGGGTCAAACGCCTTGGCTGCCATATCTGACTGCCTTCTAAAATTGGTTGTTAATTGGCGGTCTCTGGCTTCAAAACTTTTTTGAGTCCCTAACCTGAACAGCTACCCAGCTAGTGAAGTCAGAATTCCTGATCGCCGTACTTGTTGCAGGTCAGTGGCTAAGTCCATTGGATCATCAAAACCAGTGGCGGACCTAATAACCAAAGGGCCCCGGTGCAAGATTTTATCTTTGGGGCCCCCCTCCCAAGACTGTCTCTAATGTTGCAGTAGCGTGCTGGACTTACCTGAGACCCTGCAGAGCATACCATAGATGCTGCATAGCCCACCTGAGACTCTCTACGGTGGGCTCTGCAGGGTCCCAGGTGGGCTGGTCTGGTCGTCGGGGTCCCTTTCCCTGTACATCCTCCTAACTCTTCTTACCTGCTGCTGCTGGGACCCGGAATCCTCCACTGTCACCTCTGCCATGCTGCCCTGGTACAGCTGATACCCATGTAAAAGGCTGCCCAGACCCCTCACATGGGTACCGGCTATTCCCCCCTTGATGGCGGTGTTCTATCAAAGTTTGTGACTACGCTAGAATGCGTGACCGGTGACGTGGTCACGCGTTTTAACGTAATCCCGCCCAGTTTTTTTGCGTTGAAATGTGTGACCGCCAATAGGTGAAGCATTCCAGCACTTTCCCAGCTGCTCCAGGGCAAATCGGCATCGGCGATTGTATGAGCAGGAGAACCAATCTTCCCTGAAACAGCTGATCGGTCCTGAAATGTCACTTCTATTCACAAAGTCGGATAGAAGTGACATTTCAGGACAGAACAGCTGTTCCAGGGCAGATCGGTTCTCCTGCACATGCCATTTGAGATGCCAATCTGCCCTGGAACAGATGACAAAGCGTTGGAATTCTTCACCTATTCCACCACCAAAAGACCGGGCGAGATTACGTTAAAATGTGTGACCACGTCACCGGTCACACATTGTAACGTGGTCTCAAACTTTGATAGAACAGAGGCTCTATTTGTAATAATTTAATCAGATAAATAGATTATAATAGGGAACATTACAGTGTAATATTCCCCATTATAATCCACTTGTCTAATTACATTACAGCACACAACCCTCACCAACAAACCCCCCCATAGGCGCTCGGACTCACCCAGCCAGATCCTCACCGCAGCTCTGTCTCAGGCAGACGCTGTGTGCAGGGGGCGGGTCCTGTGGCTCGCTTCTCCTCTCCCGCCGCCTGTTACTATGGACGCGAGGAGGTGAGTCACAGGACCCGCCCCCTCACTGAGAAGCCTGTCGGCAGTGCGGGGCCCCAGTGTTCTAACACCCGGACCCTGCACTGCCCCATATTGCAGGACCGGACCCCACTGGGCCCCCCACAGCCTCAGGCCCCGGTGTGGCTGCACCGGTGGTAGTTCCGCCACTGATCATAACGGCAGTAATTTTCAGTAGGAGAGGTTTGTAATGGTGATCTACATATTTCTCTCAGTGCATGCTACCTTTTAAGATCACACACTTCGACATATATCACTGAAATACTTTTTGAGACTGATGTTAAAGGCTTTTATTGCTTTATTACCCTTGTTCTTAGCCAGTAGTTATTTCCTGCACTCCCTTACTGTCTTTAGGGAAGTCTGCATATGATGCACTTCTGCTTGGAATTGTGTAGTAATTGACAATTTAAGCATTTAACAAGTCAGTACCAGTTAAAGTAAATTTGAATGAGAAAAATTCATAAGCTGGCGTTGCAGACTTTATTTTGACCTGCGTTTATGCTGACACATACTGTAAAGCCGGTTGCCGGCTCGACCAAAGCGGAACAGACTCTCAGAGTCTGTGTAACCCCTTCCGACTTCATGATGGGATTATCCTGTCATAGGTTGTGAAGGGGTTAACGTCCTTGATCAGTGGGTCACACCCTTTTTTCACTTGCGTACCTCTTGCACGGTGCTTAAAGGGGTATTGTTAAATAAGACCTAAGCCTACTCTAGAGGTCAAGACTGCATAACTGCACTCCTGACTAGTGATGGGCTTGGGCGTGTTCGCAGCTCCACGTGCCGAGCCCACCAGGAATCACAGGCACTGAGACATTTCCCGATCTCTGCAGCTGCGGACCGGGAACATGTCTCAGTGCCTGTGATTGGCGGGCTCGGCACGTGGAGCTGCGAACACGTCTGAGCCCATCACTACTCCTGACCCCAGAGTGCAGGGGTCAGGAGTGCATAACACACAGGGTCAAGATTGTGTAATGCACAGGGGTTAAAAGTAAGTAAAGCAGAGTGCCACCCAATCAGAACACCTCCACCATGATAAAAAACACACACACATAGGAACAAGGTTAGAGCCGTGTGGGCCTGTACTTACAGCAAGGCTAGTGCATATCAGCAGCGACGGTCTGCGGGAGCATGTGTTTCAGGACAGGAGGAGGAAAGCGCACAGCCCCCACCCCCTTCCTGTTCTCTCCTCCTCTCCAACGTTGGCTCTGACAGTGCTGGTGCTGACAATGTGACGTGAGTGAGTGATGACATTGTGTCTGCCATTATTGTTTGTTTTTTTTCCTGTTCCCAAGATGCACTAAAAAAAGAATAACAGATATAAAAACTGCTTTTCCGCAGTGATCTTAATTAATCATTGACTAATGTTTTACAGGGAAAAGTATAAATGATTCCAGACAGAAGGTGTTACCTGGACCCATGTAATTTTTTATTTCTTTGTGTCGTGTTACCTAGTAGTAATACTGAAGTCAGCAAAAATATGACAAAGATGAAGAAAATGTGTCATTTCTCAGGTGTTTTTAGGTTTTTTTGGATCAAGTTCCTGTCTGGTAGTGAAATCACTGTTCAGTAAAGCCACATAATTATACAAAATGCAGTTATATCTAGCTGTTTCTCTAATGAATTAAAATTTAGAGTTTAATAGCATAAGAGGAAAGAAAAAAAGGTAACGATGACCTTTTTAAAAATCTATAATTTTAAGCAGAATTTAACAAATCGCTAGTGCTGATTGTTAGTCAGTTGTCTCTTCAGGCATAATAGGAGATAAATGGACTTGTGAGAGAGGAAAACTGAGTATTCTAATGGTGTTGATAGGAATATAGCCACTAAAGTTTGTAGAGGAGGATTTTGTAAAGAGATTGAAGCTCAGATATGTGAAAACTCTTATTACTGCATGTTTTTTTGTGTTTTTTTTTCTATACGTAATAGTGTTTTCTTTTTTTTCTTCCCCCCCCCCCCCCCCTCTCTGCGGGGGCATGCTTCTTCGGG